AACTAAGCAGACAGCCTATTCTTTGCTTCTCTGTTGGCTGTACTGGAAAGCATTTCCAATGGCTAATCTAAATCTTCCTCACAGCAAAACAAACTAACTCATTTTCCTTCTACTCATTCCCTCTGCTCTGGTGAACCCTTGCTGATCAGTCCATAGCTTTTTCAAAGTGTGCTGTTAAAGCTGGAGCCAGTGCTCCAGGAAATACCAGCACCACCAAACAGAGCTCAGCCCCTCACATCTATGATAGCACAAGTTTCTTACACATAACATCACCACTTAGCTACTCCAATATCGTGTGGCCTTTTCTCAGAACAGGTAAAATAGACATTAGGATTTTTTTTTTCCACTGAAAGGCTGGTCAAGCATCAGAACAGGCTGCACAGGGATGTTATTGAGTCACCATCCCTGGAAGTATTTAAAAGGCAAGCAGATGTGGCACTCAGGGACATGGATTAGTGGTGGACTTGGCAGTGCTGGGTTAATGACTGGACACAATGATCTCAGAGGCCTTTTTTCAAATTAAATGTTTCTATGACTCTATGATTCTGGTTCAGCTTTGGATCCACCAGTATCCCAGATCTTTTCTGTAGAACTGCTGCCCAGTTCTCTGTCCTGTGTCCATGGCTGATCATTTCTGCTCTGCATTTGTGAGCATGACATCAGAGCACCCATATGGAGCACATCATCATCTCAGCATTCCCTGGCATTTGCCAGCAGCAGAAGCCTACAACAGAGCAGAGGACCAGGGCCAAGAGAAGGCAGCACTTCCCCTATGCACTCTTTCAGTTTCTAGTAATATGTGGCTCAGAGCTTGTTTGAATGTTATGCTGCATCTTTGTGTTCAAAAGCCTTTGGTAGGTTTTCCTTTTAGCAAATGTTTGACTGCTCATTGATGGACTGGCCTTGTCCAAATGCCTTCTAACAATTCAGGCCACTTGTCCAATGTGTCAAAATCCCTTTTCAATTCCAGTCTTAATCTCCAATACACCAGTGGTCCTTCCCAATGTAATGTTACTGCCACTGTAATGAATGCACTCTCTATTCCATGACTTAGCACATCAGTGGGACACACTGGCAGCAGACCTGAGGATCAGGTGCAGGCTGTTCCACCACAGCCCTTTCAGTCACCTGAATGTTTATACAGTATTTAAGTATAAAATTGCGGGTGGGCAGCACCTTGCTTCAAAGTTCTTAACCTGGGAACCGCAGTCCTGTTTTCCCTAAAAACGCAGCAGTTGCAGTGCGGGCTGACAGCCTCACACCCCCCAGGGCAGGGTTTGGGCGAGCAGTGTCACAGATAAAAGGGGTTTGTGGCCGCGCAGTGACCTCTGTGTCTGTTCGCAGAAGTGCAGCAGCCAGCGAGAGGAACAGTAAATACTGAAAACGCCAAGGTAAGAACACCTGCATTTGTTGTGAGTGCAAGAGGGGTTGTTGCTCAACCAAAGACCTTCCTTGTGTTCTAAAAATGATGCCTTTGTCTGGGATACCTTAATCTATCTAGTCCGTTCTAATATGGTCTATCATTTGTGAATAGATCTTAGCTGATAAGCTACACTAATGATCAAAGCTCAACTCTTTCAAATATTAATCTTGGGATCTGGGATTCTGGTTTAGTACAATGCCAATGTAAATCTAAATTATGAATTTTGGCTTGAGATCCAAAACAGTCGAAGGATTGCCAAGCACTGGAAGACTGACTATATTCATAACATAAACTCACCTGAAAGAATCAAACTGATGGTCTGGCTTTGTAAGATCAATTCCCAATTAATAAGAAGGGGTAACAAATAGTGATAAAATCTTTATTTCCTGGAAATGCCCTGGGGAAAGAACTTGAAGCAAACCAGTTAAAATCTACAGTTTCCATCTGTGTGTGTTGAAAGAGGGGCTACCGAGTCACAGCTCCTTGTTTCAGTCCTAAATTCCAGACAGATTTGTGAATCAATGAGCTGATCATGTGCATCCTCTCTCCCAAAGCCTTTGTGCTGGGAGATGCTCTGGGGAAGGGGGCACTGGGCACAGACTGTCCTGCCAGCCTCTCTGCAGCACCAGGGCTTGCTCAGTCCTTTAATCCTCATTTTTCCCAATTTCTTTCTACCAGCAGATATAGGTGTGTACTTAGGATCCTCTCTCCCACACCTGGCAAATGATGTAAAACATCACCACTTTTATGGGACTTTCACAGCCTTTTACAAAGGTTAGAAGAACACACTGGTGCCATCCCTTATGTCATAGCCCAGTATCACCTCTCTTCGTCCAGCCTCACCTCCGCTTTATTTGCACTGATTGCACCCTGCAGGAGACATAGCTGAAGGCAGGATCCCCTCCCTTTTCTTACAGCTCAGTGGGAGTTGCCACAAGGGCTGAGAATGTACTGTTTACTTAGGGACAGAATGGTGTAGGATCAGCTGTCATCTGGCACTTTAATCCAAGACACAATTAGTTGAGCACAGCCATATCCACACAATACTTGATGGAAGCAATACTGCAGTAATTCACAACTGTCTGAGGTGTGGCTTTCCATGGGAAAGGCTTCTTGTGAGACTCTGCAGACAGCTGCCTAGAAAATCCTCCTCAGATACTGTTAGAAGACTCCTCTATAAACACACAGGATTCCATCAGTCCTTCGGGATTTTCACAGCACCAAAGGTGAGGTGCACTATCAGGAAAACTTCTCACATCACTTTGGTTGTCAATTGGCAACTAAAAAGGTGGAAGGAGGGGTGGAGGGAGGGACCACATTTTTAATCTATTGCTCTGAAATGTGAATCCAGCTCTGGCTGGATGTGAGAAGTGCTTGAAGAAGCTGCCTGGACAGAAAGCAGGTGAGGAACACTAAGGTTTTCTCAAATGGTTTCTGGAAAAAATGGGGGGAAAAAGTATTTTCAAATCTATTTCACAAAGTATCAGCACATAACATAATTCTGTATTTATACGGGATCACAGGAAAGTTTCAGCTCTGGTACCTCAGTGAAGCCTATGCCAATTAAAACACTGCTAACTTCAGCTTGATACTGATTTAACTCCACATCAAACTGGTGTTCAGACAGGATCCTTGACCTATTTAACAGATGCATTTTTAAATGACATCTCACATTTTACACCTGCAACTCTTAATACAGACCTACGGGCAAGGCAAAGCAACCTGAAGGTCCATCTGAATTTGTAAGAGGTTTCTGGACTACTGCAGAAATATCCTTTTTTCTAGAATGGTCTCTTGAAAATAAAACCAAATTGAAGCACACCTACTAACTGGATGTTTTTAGCTGCATATTACACTACGTAGAAGGAGCCAAATGTTCCCCTGTCACTCAACACACTGCTAAAGATGTAAGTTGCTCTTTTTTTACTGTGGTTTGTAAAAAGAGGGGTTATCTTTTCTCAGGCCAGCTGCCACTGAGAAAAAAAAAAAAAGAGGAAAAACTTTTGGGAAGAAGCCCCTTCTTCAGGCCTGAAATAGCATCAGTAGTCTTGAAGGTGAAAACCAGCCGAGAACGACTTATAAATTTAATTAGATTATGTAAGAAGCTAGACCATCTTAAAAAAAAAAAAAAAAAGGGCACTGATATCTGGAGCAAAGGAAGGAAGAGCAGGGAAGGAGAGGAGGAGATAAAAAGGGAGCTCCACTGGCACACGCAAGGAAAGCAATGAGCAATTCACTGCCTAAGGAAGGTGAGGGACAGGGAATTGTGTCCTGTGCCCTGATGTCTCTGCCAAGTCCAGGATCATTAGCAGCATTAAGCGTTTCAGGTCCCATGATGTCTTTTGAAGGTATTTTATCAATGTCTCTTAAGAATCAGAGTTCAAGTGAGGTCTAGATTTGTTTCAGCTCTGACAGACTGCAGCAGAAAAGTAAGTCCAAAGGGGGAAAAAGAGGTCTAGGCATAACTGCTCTTCTGTCTTTCATCTCGACCCTGACTACTGGGCTAAATCTCACTTATCCTTATAAGAAAAATAATAAAAATATACCTGCCCCAGCCAGCACTTTTGCAAGTGCATAAGCAGTTCCTCTGAACATACACAACCCAATTTCCCTGAGGGAGTAATAACAGGAAGAGTTCCACAGCTTCCTAATTATTTCCCTATAAATGTTTTGAAAACATCACTTATTTGGAGGAGGCCCAGCACCCAGTAGAGCAAATGTATATCCATGTACACAGAATGACTTTTTGTGTCCCTGTGTCACAGCCCTCGCAAGGTCCAGAGCCCCTCAGAGCTCAGTGTGGGGATCCAGGTGAGGAGGCAGCAGCTGGAAGTGGCCAGGACAGCTCACACAGACACATCCCTGTCAGGCTGCCCACGGAGGGGACACCCTGGCTGTGGTGGGATACAGGCAGCAGCACTTCCCCAGGGTGCTTGGGAAAAGCTGGGCACACTTCTCCTTGGAAAGCTAGTGTGTGGATTAACCAGGCTGCCTGTGTTAAATTGGAGGCTAGTCTGGAAAATGTGGGTGCAAAGATGCTTCCTAATACAAGACAAGGAAAAGAGAGTGGATATACATTAAAAAAAAAAAAGGCAGAAAAAGAAAGGATGCATAGATGTGCCCAAAAGCTGTACCATCTTGCACCAATTGGCAAAAGTGAAAACGTGATTGTCCCAGCTCAGTGACTGAGTAATGAGAAAAGAGCCGGTGATCACACATCCCAGACACCTCATAAGAAGTTAGACAAAAAGAAAAGTGTTACTGACAGCTTAAAAGATTAGGAGCAAGAGGAAAATTGGTGTTGAAACCCATGAAATGCAACCACAGGCAATGAGGGAGAGGCACCAGCCCTGCTCTGGCACGGGGCAGGACTGGTTGCTCTCCAGAGGTCCCTGCCAGCCCTGACCCCTCTGACTCGGGAAGGATGAAACCCCGCTCCCCGTTTGGCAAGCTGAATCTGAGCAGAGCCCTGGCAGCCAGGAGGGCCAGCCCTGTCCTGGGGTGCATCAGGCACAGCATGGCCAGCCGGGCAAGGGAGGGGATTGTCCCGCTCTGCTCTGAGCTGGGGCAGCCTCACCTCGAGTGCTGGGCACCACAATGTAAGGAAGACATGGAGCAGCTATTAGAGCGTCCAAAGGAGGGCAGTGACGATGGTGAAGGGCCCTGAGAGGAAGCAGTATGAGGTCGCTCGATGAGTTGATCCTGCAGGAGGCGGAGGGGAGGCCTCAGCGCACTGACAGCTCCCCGGTGCCGCTGCGGGTGCCGTTGGCCGCTGTAGCCGCTGCCCCGGCCCGCGCGCCGGGAACCCCGCGCTCGCGCCCCCCTCGCGCGGCGGTTCCGGGCGCGGCCCCGCGGGGGCGCCGCTGGCGGAGGGGCGGGGCGGCGCGCAGCGCGCGTGCGCGGTGACGCGCGGGGCCGTGCCCGCTATATGAGCCCCGGCAGGCGCTGACTCGGCCCTTTCCGCCCCGCTCCCGCCCCGCGCCCGGGTCGCTGCGCTGAGACCCCGCGCCCCCGCCGCCCCCCGCCGCCACCATGATCATCTACCGGGACTGCATCAGCCGTAAGGCCGCGGAGGGGGGGGCGGCGCGGCCGGGAGGGGCGGCCGGGCCGGCACTCGGAGCGGGGGGGAACCGCGGCCCGGGCCCGAGCGCTGGGCCCGGCGGTGCCGGCGCGCATGTGCGGGGCTGGGCCGGGGCGGGGGGGGCGCGGAGCCCGGGGGCGGGAGCGATGGGGGGAAAGTGGTGGGTGCCGGGGGGCGGAGGCTGACGCGGCTGGGTGTGTATGCGTGTTTGTCTGTCCCCGCAGAGGATGAGATGTTCTCGGACATCTACAAGATCCGGGAGGTGGCGGACGGCCTGTGCCTGGAAGTGGAGGGGAAGGTGAGTGCCCGCCCGCCCCGAAGGAGGGAGGGAGGAAGGGTTGCCGCGGTGACTCACGGCCGGTGGGGAGTGGGGGTGGCCTCCCTGCGAAGAGCCCGAGCAGGGAAAGGGAGAAGGGAAGACTCACCTTGGCCCAGTGCCCCGTGCTGCCGTAGATGGTGCCTGAGAGAGCCCGGGTCAGTCAGGCTGGAGTGTAATGGAGCTTCGGTTGTGCACCGTGGGGGGAGTCGTGCTTGGGAGTCATAGAATCATAGAACGCTTTGGGTTGGAATGCACCTTGAAGATCATCTCGTTCCAACCTCCCTCCCATAGGCAGGGACACTGTCCGCTAGACCAGGTTACTCAAAGCCCCATCCAGCCTGGCCTTGAACACTTCCAGAGGTGGGGCATCCACGGGTTCCCTGGGCAACCTTTGCCAGTGCCTCCTACATAAAGACTTTCTGCCTAATATCTAATCTAAAGCTACTGTCCTTCAATTTGAACCTGTTCCCTCTTCTCCTGTCACTGGGAAATTAGTGCTCAAGCTGCAACCAGGTTCCTTGCACAGAACTGTGTCTCTCGAGTTGTGCCCTGCTGTCAGGTCATAGGTGTGTAAGAGCGGTAGTGCTAAGGTTTTTTGCAGAGCCGTTAAGTTTTTTGATGTCTCTAAATCTAGATGGTCACCAGGACAGAGGGTCAAATTGATGACTCTCTAATTGGTGGCAATGCCTCTGCTGAAGGTCCAGAGGGAGATGGAACAGAAGCCACGGTCATAACTGGTGTTGACATAGTAATTAACCACCACCTTCAGGAGACCAGCTTCACAAAAGAATCCTACAAGAAGTACATCAAGGATTACATGAAAGCGTAAGTGTTGGTTGGCTTTTCATTTCAGTTGGATTGCAGAGGTTTTGTGTGCTTGGGATTGTAAAAACAGCATTGGATTTATTCCTATTAGGTGTTCATTCTGATACAGGTGTGAAACTGGCTGTGAACTTCAGTAATGTCTTAATGCTGGGCAGAACTGGGGCCCTAGAGAATGGGGGATGGACTATCTATGTTTATTTTGGCTGAGGTAGAGGACCTGATCATGTGCTTTGGATCTTATTTGTAGCCTTGCTTCTTTCCTATTTCTCCATGCCAGACCTTCATGTGGAGGAACTGAGGTGGTAAAGAAAAGCTTCTGAAGCTTTTCTAGAGTGACAATGTAAACAGCTAAAAAAAAGTGTGTGAATGGGTCTTTTTGCTAGTTTGTGGTGTAATAGCTGTTGGTTGGTGTTCAGAGGGGGTAATATTGAAAGTGAAAAAGCTTTGTGATGTGGGTGGATGATACTCCTGATGCTGTGGAAAGGGCTTGCTGATTTTTGCCTATCACTAGCCTGGTTGTAAAATGACCTTGGTAGGAGTGGCAGGTACTGTTCTGTGATTTCACTTCAAAAACTAAGTTAAAATTTGGGGGCTTTGAGAGGAGGTGGGGGAAAGGCAGCAAAATCTAAGTTTGACAGGTAGCTGGCTCGACTCTTTCTGCTATGACATCCTGCCAGACAGTGAAGATATTAAGTTAGAACATGTTTTCAGAGCATTTTTTTTCCTTCTCCTTCCAGAATCAAAGCCAGACTTGAGGAACACAAGCCAGAGAGAGTAAAGCCTTTCATGACTGGGGCTGCAGAACAAATCAAACACATCCTTGCCAATTTCAAAAACTACCAGGTAAGTTATGTCTCCTTACAGCAGTATTGATAAGCTGTGATTGGTTCATCTGCTGAGTAGCTTGTTAAGAATTTTGATGGCTCCTGTTGTGAGGATGCTAACTCGCCGGTCTTTGAGAGAATTAGGGGTCCTGAAAGTCAGGGAGGAGAAAGAGCCAAAGACTGTTAGCTGTTTGGTGGTGTCATTTCAGCTGGTAATGCTTGTAGTTAGCTACATCTGTTGTTATGGTGATTCAGGGACTTTGCAGTTAGACTTGGAAGGTAGATCACTTTGGCCCTTGCTGTCTCTTGCTCTGTTCATAGCAACAAGGTAAAATTATTGAATCAAAGAAGGCATTGGGTTGAAAAGCATCATTGAGTTCCAATTCCCTGCCATGGGCAGGGACATCTTCCACTGGACCTGATTGTTCAGAGCCCCATCCTGCCTGGCCTTGAACACTTCCAGGGATGGGGCATGCACAGCTGCTCTGGTCAGTCTGCGCCAGTGTCTCACTAGCACCACAGTAAAGAATTTCTTCCTAATATATAATCTAAATCTGTCCTCTTTGGAGTTTCAAAGTCATTCCCTGTTGTCCTATTGCCATGTGCCCCTGTCAAAGTCCCTTTCCAGACTTTTTGTAGGCCCCTTTATGTTCTGGGTGCTGTAAGGTCTCCCTGGAGCCTCTAGGGGTGAAAAGCCCCAACTTCCTCAGTCTGTCCTCATAGGAGAGGTGCTCCAGGCCTCTGACCATCTCAGTGGCCTACCTGGGCTTGGTCCAGTAGGTCTACGTCCTTCTTGTGTTAGTATCCCAGCTCCAGAGATGGATGCAGCACTCCAGGTGAGGTCTCAGCAGAGCAGAGGAACAAAATCATGTCCCTTGACCTGCTGGTCACTCCTCTTTGGATGTTTGGGTTTCTGGGCTGCAAGCTCACAGTGCTGGGTTACACAGACTTATTTGTCATCCAGCACCCCAAGTCTTTCTCCTGAGAGCTGCTGTCAATCCATTCCCAAGCCCTGCATGTATTTGTGCTTGGGGTTGCCCTGATCCAGGTGTAGGGCATTGCATTTGGCCTGTTGAACTTCACAGGGTTCCCATGGACCCACCTCTCCAGCCTGTCAAGGTCCCTCTGGATAGCATCCCTTTCTTCTGGTGTGTCAGCCATGGTGGCACTAAGATGGACAAGCTGCAGAGAAGGAAAATCCCTGTGGTTGGTCAGGGAGACTTTTAATTGTATAAAAAGGCATTTTCTCCTGGCATTAGCCAATTAAATGTCTTAGAGACACATTCCTCTGAAGTTCTTTGTAGGGGAGAACATGAATCCAGATGGAATGGTGGCTCTCCTGGATTTCCGTGAGGACGGTGTGACCCCATATATGATTTTCTTTAAGGACGGCTTAGAAATCGAGAAATGTGTAAGTACTGAACTGAACTGGGTTAATGTACCCAAGTACATGGTGAGCTCCATCTCTTGTTCTCCTGTACCCCTGTTAAAAGTTGAACACTAGCTGGCAGTTTGAAAACTTTTAAGTATTGTGTAAGTACAGCCTGATTGGTGCTTTAATATTGTACAAAGTGCCTGAAACTTTGAGTACTATTCAGTTGTACTAAAAGGGGATGTATATCACTGCTGTGATTCATGGTGACTTAATGGCCAAGAAATGCAAAAGGGATGGCCCTGGTGAGATGTGTGTAATTGGGAGTGGGTTTAAACCATTAGATTAAAGAGTAGGTCCTCTGAAATGGAGCACTTCTACTTTAGATCCCTTTTCTGGGAGTTAATTGCAAAGTACCTTGCATGATCATATTCTATCTTCTTTCACTTAATCTGATGCCCTGATACAAGAACTGTCAGTTTAAATATTGCCCTAAATTTGGGAGCACAGTATTACTTGACCAGGTACTTAACCTTTTTCTATCTGGAATCTCCCAACTACCTGAGCTCCTGTGGTCTGGAATGTGGTTGCCCACAAGATAGTATTTGGATCTCAACACTTGTGGGTTTTTGGTTTGCTTGGAGACCTGTGGAATTCACTGCAGTGTGGGATCAACAGTTGCTTTGCCCATTGTGGACTTGTGAAGTCTCTATATAGACAGCTAAATTTATCTGTAAAGCCTCTCACAGGCTTTCTGGTATGCGAGTCATGTAAAGATGAGCCAGATTCTGATGTGGAGCAGTAGCCCAATTAAAGGGACACTTCAGTTGGCCAGACAGACACAGCACCTCCCACAGCCTGATGGAGGGGGGATGTCTGTTCTGGCCCTGGAACAGGTGATCACCTGGAAGGCACCTCCTGGGAGCAGAAGCTTCTGTCTATCTCCTCTATGGGGGCACACCTTTTGGATGTGTTGTTTGGATAACTCCACCTACTTTGAGGTGGAGTAAAAGAACAGTAGCAAGGTGTTCCCATGTGCAGTAAAACCTGCTTCAGCTCCTTGGTGCAGCTTTTTTCAGACACACCTGGGTACATTGTAAGCTCTGGCACTTGTTTAGGATGTGCTTGAGGGGAAACCTGAACCTTGGTGTGTCAAGGAAGGGTGTGAATGAGTGCTCAGCCTGGCTTGCTCAGCAGCTGGTGGGTGCCAGTTGCTCTGTACAATTGTAAAAATGATCAGCATCCTCTGATAGACCATGAGCACTTTTCCTGTTGCTCCCTGGTTTGCACTAAGATGCAAAAATAACTTCCTTGCGCTTTCTGCCTGCCTGACTGTGGCAGCCCAGATTGAATTAGGGAATACACAAACAAGTTACAGAAACTTGCTGATACTGTCATGACCTTTAACTAACACTTGCTGCTCTTGTTTCAGTAACAAATCAAACAGTATGGTTTTGGATCACTTGTCTTCATAGCTGGCTGCTGTTTCTTCTTCATCGGCACAACACCAGGAATCAGCAATGTCTAACTGGACTGATGTCATCTTGAGCTTTATTCACTTATTTTGACCCTGATTTGGAGTGGAGGCATTGTTTAAAAAAAACGAAAAAACATCTATCATGTAGGTTGTCTAAAATAAAACTCATTTAAACCCATTCTAGGTGATGTCTTTTGGTCTGGTGTGTCTCTCAAGGTGACTTGAAGGAGAGGTTACACCATGGATTGATGCTGTCAGTAGCACAGCTGGTGCTAGAGCACTACAACTGGACTGTTTCCAGACAGATTTCACAGTTTGCCTGTGGCACTGGAGTGCAAAAGCAGGTTGATGTCAATAAGGCAAAGTCCAAGAAATGTCATAACGGAGTGAACCACCTTCATCTTTTGTGATTGCACAGAGGCTTATCTCTGGAAGAGATAAGAAATTAATAATAAAAATATCCAGAATGGAATATGTGCTACTCAAGCTGAGTGCTGGCTGAGCTGCTTTGTCAGACAAGAGCACTTGAGCCTCTCTTGAACTATAGTATGTCTCTAAGATCAAGGCAGGAGGCTGAGTGGGAATACTAGGGAGAGAAGGTGAAATGGCTGTTTTCCAACACAGCTTGGCTGTGGCACTTTGAATTTGACAGCTGTTGGGGAGCATATGAACTAGAATTCAGTCAAGTTGCAGGATTTGTGGTTTTTCTGTACTTGGCCCCTTGGAGACAGATGTTGGAATGGCCTAGCTCTGCCCTAGACTTCCTCCAAACCCAGGTGCATGCCTGTACTTGGGACTTACCTGAGTGTTCCTTGTTAGGGAGTGCATCTGTTTGACAGACCTGGAGCAAACACTGTTGCTTCTCAGGTTCTCTTTTGAGATGCAACAGTAACAGGTTCCTTGCGCTTTCTGCCTGTCTGACCTGGTGGCAGTTTGGATTGAATAAAGGAACACAAATTCCTTCAGAGCCCCATCTGGACCAAGGGCGGGAGGGGGATGTCTGTTGCTGCTGACCCTGTTCCTGAGCAGGGATGTTGCCTTGGACTGCTAATCATTAACTTTTCCTGCTGCAGTGATGGCAGAGGCATAGGAAGTTAAGGTGCCTGACAAGGGAGGGCATGGCCCACTTGCTAACTGTTTGTCTCCTTCGGTGTTTTCACATCTTTGCTGTCTTGTGTCAATTTTTGGCCCCTGGTGCTGGAGGGTGGAGGTGGAGGGGAGTTCTGCAGGGGTGAGATAGATGTGGCAGAAGGCTGGGAGGAGTGAGAGACTGGAGGAGGGAGTGGAGCCTGCCCTAGTTATCTCTGAGGTTCCTGTCTGGTTAAATACACCCTATTTTAGTTCTGTGGGAACTTTATATATATATATATATATATGGGGTTTCAATTTTTTTTGTTTTGTTTTGTTTTTCAAGGTTTTTCAATAAAGGATTTTGAGTCAGCTGTGCTGGATGAGGTACAATTTTGGTGTAGCCTGCTTCACCCATTGCGGCTGGGAGGCAGATTCAAAGCCTAGATAAAGCCACTTAGGCAGTTTGTGCTTTTTCTTGCAGAGGATGTGTTTAATGAGGCTGGGTGAGGATGTTCTCTTCCCTTTCCTGATGCATCTTCATTAAAAATGAGAACATTAAAAGAGAGGGAGAGCAAACAGTCCTCAGTTGAGTAAAGTTAGTGTGGGCAGGGCAGTGCTGGTATGCCTGTGCTGCCCCTCAGCCCTGGCTCCCACTTCCTGTGAGTCAATGTTTAAAATTCTGGAGCTGATATGTGGGAGTGGAAATGACTCCTCCCCCCCGGCTGGTCCTGCCAAGGCTGGGAGCCCTGGGCACCAGCCTGGAGCAAATTGCCACGTGGCACCTGTGTACAGATGGAGAGCTGCTTTGAAAAGCAGGTGCTTCAAAGCACGATGAACATAGCCTTGCTGCTTGGTTGAATGGCAAATTGTGTGTCATCCTGTCTGTACTCCAGGCTCATTGGGGTATTTAATTGCTATGTGCAAACATTCCTAACTAGGGAGTTCTGTGCTCCAAGCAGGTGTGCACAGCCTCTGGTGGGAAGGCTCCTTTCAGCTTGCTGAAAGTGTTAGGAAGTGTCAGTTCAAAGGCTCTGGAGATGTGGGATTTTGTTTGTTTCTTCAGTGAGCTGCAAGTGAAATGTTCTTGCTGGGCTCACTGCCCTTCCCAACCATGCATTGCTGCCTTCAGTTTCTCAGGATAAGCCTTGCTGCTGTGCAGCATCACGTCTGTCAGATGCACCAGGGAGGGTGTGGCAGGGAAGGACTGCGGCAGTGCCAAGTGCTTGTCGCAGCTGCACTGCTGTGGTAGCTGCCTGCTGTGCAGTCAGGCTGAAGGAGAGCTGGGAGTCACTGCATGCAGGGAAGGGGAGCCCGTGCTGGTAAAGGCACTTGTCCACAGTCCGTGACACAGCTCTGTGCTGGGGAGGAAGTCTGCGTATTTCCTCATGCTGTAATTCCTCTTCTTCCGGCTATCTTCAGCTCAAGCGGCTGTTTCTTTCCTGGGCCTGAAAAGTGAAGGGGTTTGGAAAGGAAAGTCTTCATACTTCAGACAACAGCTTTGGAGTTACTGATAAAATCCCCCATGATAACAAATTAGCTTGATGCTGCTTAAAATACAGAACTGACAGCTTTAACACTCAGCCCAGTCTTGTTTTAAAATGTGCTTATCAGGCTTGCATCTTGCATTCCTGGAAAGATACTTTCAGTGGATTTGGGAAGGATCCAAATTGCATTTTCCCTGAGCCTCATTGAGCAGGTTAAGCAGCTGGGTAGAAACCTCCCTTATGCTGGCTAGAGTCTCAGGCTCTGTAAGGCCAGGAGGCCACTCCTACACCCACTACGAGCTGGATGCTGACAGGAGAAGGAAGGTTGATTTGCTTTCATAAAGAAACCTGCCTTTCTAGTTTCAGGCTTCTGTGGTTAAAGGAGTGATGTCTTGGGGCTGAAGGAAGCAGCCGTTGTGCATTGTCTCCTTCACTTTTTGCCCTCAATGTCTGCTTCTTGTCTTACAATAATATTGGCTTTGCTCCCTCACCTATAAATTCATGCTATTTTTGACCTCTGGGAGCAAGCAAAAAACCCCAAACACTTTCCATGCCCCAGTCACTGATGTTAATGTCCATTTTGCTGCTTGGCCATCTGCTTTGAGGAGAAAGGGTGCAGACCTGGAGGTGTTCATGCAGTGCAGGGAACATCTGGTGTGCTGGGAGAGGCACTGGTGTCCCCCTGGGGTGCCCAGCTTTGCCCACTGAGCTGGGGGTGGATGCCAGAGCCCAAGTGGGTGATGGTCTTTGAGCCTTGTGCAGCCCTCAGCTTTGGCACAAGGAGGGAGAACCTGCAAAAGGAAGATTCTAAATGAAAGTATGTAGGAAACACAGTTGGGTTTGATTGGTGTTGGGGGCTTTTTTTTGTGAATTTATTTTTTAACTCAGTTTAGCTCACAGCCAGAAGGCATTTACAATAAGCACAGGACATGGTTGTTATCAAATAATATAAGACTGAGTTGGTTTTTTTTAATTTGGAAAAAATTGGAAAAGCTGCAATTTGCCTACTTCCCTAAGCAAGTCCCTTGCTGTTGAGCTGGCACAGGTCAGCCCACTTCAATCTTGGCAGTGGGCAGCTGTTCAGGGAGGATGCTTTCATTAAAGAGCAATAGTATTCACATCAAGATACTTCTGCTTTGCTGCTCACTTGGAGCAGATAGGATGTCTCCCTCTGCTTCTGAACCTCCATCTGCACTTTAGCTCTGTAGCCACTTTCCTGGGGTGTCGCTGCCATTGTAAGCTGGGATGTTTTGCTCTGGACCAGGAAATCACTGTGTCACTGTAGCTGGCAGTGGGAGAGCAGCAGTTAAACACCATGTTCATTAGCTCAGGGATAAACATCTTCGTAGGAGGCAAAAACCCTAGCCAAGCCTGGATGTTTTTGCCCTAAACAGTACCAAATCCATTCACAAGGGCACAATCTTGCTGGTTTGCTGTCCCTGTGTCTTGGCTGCCTTTTGGTTGAAGCTGCAGCTGGAAGCTGTTGTGCGAAGATCACAGCCAAGTGCCTGTGGCCAGGGCTGGTAGCTTGAGGGAGCTTTTTTTGGGTGCCAGCAAATGCTAATGTGTTCTGCAAGAGTGGGTGGGATGTTGTTGAGGATGCACATGGCTGCTGGGCATTTTAATCCACTAGAGCTGCATTCACCACCTTCTACCTCAGGCAGAAGGGATCCAAACACCCTTGAAGACCTTTTTAAGACCATTTGTGTGATGCCAGTACTGCCAATGTTGCAGCAGCTGGACATACTGATAAAATGCTGAACCATTGGTTCTCTGCAGTCCACACTTTATCCTGGGAGCTAACAGCTGGGATTCACCTTCCCATCTGTAACCAGCAGCAGTAGGAAGGAAGCACTGCTGGCATTTGGAAGAGCAAACCTCTTTTTTCCTATCCTCAGTGAGGTGCAGATATGCTGGCACAAAGCAGTCCAGCTGTTTGATTTTTTTTAAAATAGGGAATGTCCATGAACATAGATGTTGAGAAAATTTTTTAAAGATCAGCTTCCCAAATTATATGTAGTAGAGTGGTTGAAAAATGACCATATAAAGCTGGGTTCTCCTGTCCTCCTCAGCTAATAAACCCCCACTGTTGCTATTAGAGTGGTCTGGTTCAAGGGCTGAGGTTCAGCTGCTCTACCTACAGCTGTGACCCGAGCTGGGTGCCCCCAGCCTCTCCCATGGCAGTAGGGAGGGATGATTTTGCTGTCCCTGCAGCTGTGCTGCTGCAGCCACAGAACTGCCTGCAGCTGCTGGTGCTTCCTCATGCTGCCCACAAAAAAAGGTGTTTCAGGAAGTCAACTCTGCCCTTCACCCACCAGCTGCAGCTGCCCCAGCCTGCCAGCCACCCCCAGCAGCATGTGCCATCCCAGTACCCCATGTCCTAATTTTCAGCTGTGCTCTATTCTGAGTTAATTTCTTCTCAGTAGCTGTTACAGTGCTGTGTTTTGGATTCAGAATCTGAGCGGTGTTGGTAACACACCGATGTTGTTTTTCTGCTAAGTCGTGTTTACCCTAAGTCAAGGACATTTTTCTGTTGTCTCATATGCTGCCAGCGAGAAGGGATGCAAAAGAAACAGGACAGGGGGGAAAGCATTTCTAGCATCAAGCTAGAACAAAGGACCTAGGCTCACCAGGGATATTCCACACCGCAGAATGCCGTGCCCAGTATATAAACGGGGGGGGACTTATCCATAAGGGGGGGGTCTGCCATCAGTCAGAGGGTGATGAGCACTTGTATTGTCCATCACTTGGTTTTCCCTTTTTATTAGCATTTTTATAATTTTTTAACATTACTACTATATTTTACTAATTTTCAGTTATTAAACTGTTCTTTCTCAACATACTAGTTTTACTTTGATTCTCCTCCTCTGGAGGAGAATTTCCCTGGCGTGGGGGGAAAGAGAAGGGAGGTTGAGTGAGCAGGGGATCTCTAAAGGGGTGGCTGTCACTTTCTGTCTGCTCAGGTCCCTGCTGGTACTGCCTGAGCTTACCGTGTATGCAATTTCCAATGACTCAGACTGGTCATTCGGGTCACGCAAGGCTGGAGAGTGGACATGCTTTTAATCTCATTTAATGGCATTTAGCACATAGAAACTTCTGCTCATGCCTGTGGGACCCACTTGCCAAGCAGCGTGCTGACCACTAATGTTCAAGAACATCTGCATGAGGAGAGTTCAGCAGCACATGGGAAGAGCAGCAGGGAATTGTTCATCACTGCTGCGAGTGCAGAGTTTAAATTAATCCAAATGTGGGGGCCAGGGAATAAGACCTGAACGCCTCTGAGCCTCCTCTTCTCTTCTGGCAGATGGAAATCCTGCCAACAGCACTTGTGTAAGGGCGTTGTGCAGAACAAGCACAGCAGAGCTGGAGAGCTTTTGCTGGTTATTAAGTGATGGATCCAAACAAGGTTCTCCCAAATGCTCAGTCATTATCCCAGCCTTGCAGGAATTTAGTCCTGCAGTGCCCTGGGTTACTGCAGAAGGTTGAATATGGGGCTCATAGCAGCATGTTTATCTTGCTGCTTTTGTCTCCATCATGGTTTGTACTGTAAGATCCCGTGGCTTAGCTGCAGGCTGGATGAAGACCTGCCAAGGACACCTAAAAACTCCATCTTTACCACATGCTCCCACCAGGCAGGAGCCAGCAGCAGAGCCCTTGAATGCATGGCACAGGTCCTGCTGCCAGCACAGGAGAGCATCTTTCATGCTCTAGATCAGCATCTCTGTGGGCTTATTGTTACCTTCTCTCATGCCACTTGGAGTTTGTGGCAGCTTTTGAGGGTAAAATTCCAATTACACCCTAACATGCTAGAAAAACTTAAAAATCATGCAGGAAGCAGATTAAAAAGTTGCTCACAAGCTACCTGGCTTCTGGACTCTCCACAGGTTATCTTTTCTTAGTTTACTCTGATATAGCATTTCCATTTTTGAAATGCTGTTTCCTCACTGTACTGCTCCTCAGAAGCACAGTTTGGCATTTCTCAACTTTTCTGGTGGCTCGCTGTTTGGAAACTCCACTGCTTCTTTTTTCTGTTTACTTCTAGCACTCTATACATTTTCAATGATACCCATAAAAAAATCAGCCCTTTGTAAAGACCATAAACCCCATAAAAAACGGAATGCTCTGCACATTTTCCATTACTCATGAGCAGAGCTTATTTACCCTGTCCAAAGGCACTCTGCAGATCAATAAAATACCTCCTTTACTTACATGTTCAGGCGTTTCATGCTGACTGATTATGTCCCTCTCGACTGACGACAAACTGTGAAGCAGCTCACATAAAATCAGAAATACAAGCAGATCCAAAACTTTCCTGATAAACTACTCCTACTGGGGATTCTACTCAAGGTATCCATTTCCCTCTGGAATGTCACAGTCATTTTTACCTATGGTAAGGAATTACACCACTACTTAACCAGGATTGCATGGCATCCCCCTCCATGGTTTTGGAGGACCATGTGAGGGGCAATACAAGGGAGAAGCTTACCTAGACTTGCTGGGTGCTTCAGCTTCACCTGCTGAACCAGGACATGGATCCCACAGAGGAGCCCAGCTTGTGAAAGGCAAGAGCTCTCATCCTACACATCCCTGAACACAAGTCCACAGAGGACTCGAGCCGTACGAGGAGGACAGCAGTGTGAGCAGGCCCTGGCTACTGCCCGGGAGCACATCATGTTCCACAGCAAGGCACAAAGGCTGGCTTCCTGCGTTCCTCAGCATCCTCAGATGGCTCCTGCAGCCATCTGCCAGCTGGGCCCTGCTGTAGAGTCCGAGGAGACACGAGTCAGTGGCAGTATTTATGAAAGCACACACCCCCCTGGAATGCGAGCTGCTCTTCAAAACTTTCAGCAGTCCCTCTCCTGGGAACTGGGCACTTAATGCCATAGGATGCTGAGCACAGCCCCAAGTGTAGCTGTAGACAGACACCTACACAACTCTAGAAAAAAATGAATTGAGCAAAATTGTGTCACCTATAAGAGCTCTTTTACAAACCTCTGAAAGCACTTTACCACTCCCAAAGCCTTTCATGGCTTCCAAGTGGACCAGTAATGGAATATTTGCCTCTCACACAGACCTCCTGTGTCATCAGGGTGAGCAGCAATGATTCATACACCTGAAGGACATGAGAACGTAAAAGCTGAGCTATCAAACCTCACCTGCTTAATTTACAGGTATAATAATGAGGTATCTCCACTCTGTGTTCTTTGCTCTTACTTTAACATCAAAGCTTTGAGAATATAATTAAATAGTTCCTTCCCTGCTCCCTCCTAAAAAGGATGCAGAAGGAATAACCTTTTCAGTGTGCATTTAAAAATGGGGGAATAGAGACACAGACACATTTAGCAATCTTTGCCAAACCACAGAGGAACCCAGTGGCAAAGCCAGCAATAAAAACATGCTTTGAAAAAACACTTCAGACTTATGCCACCTAAATCACAATGTGATATAAGTCAATATTGTGTGGTACAAATTAAAACAATACTTTTATTGATATGCTTAAACAGAACATAGGTATCAGCATAAAAACCAAACAAAAGAGAAAACTATTCCTTCTTGTACCTAACAGACACGTCATTTTTTTCTCAGTAATCACATGGAGGGAACTGACATCTTCCCACTGACTTTATGGGTTTTTAACTGCATTGGTTTGTTCCCAGGGAGTCTAAGGATTGTGATGAGCAGCATGGTTGTGACTGTTCTTCCTAAAGCCTGATACCAGGAGGAGCAGCATGTCCATTCCACACAAACCCTGCACAGAGGAGCTGTGCACATTTGCAGGCTTCCAGAAAAAGCCCTGACAGATCCCAGCAGAACCAAGGGTATTTACCTGGTTACACTGGAATGCAAACCCACAAAGTTATGGTTTCCTCTAAGACACATTTTCCATCAAAGTTATCAAGACTTAGAAAAGCCACAAAGCTACAAAGAAAAATTAAGAGGAGAACTCAGAAGATTTCTAATAAAGGTAAATCTAATACAAATTTATTCTATAAACTTTTCCTGTTAAAACACAAAGCATATATAGAAACATAAAAGAAATATTCCTTGGGGAAAAAAGCTACAGAAAATTACAAAGTATCAGCTGCTTTAATTTATCTTTATCCTTGCAGAATTGCACTGTGCTCAGTCCTCTCTGTGAACACTACAGATCCCTCAGTGCAATCACTCTTACATCATAAATATTTTTGTTAATCACTCTTTTCTTCTCCTTGGTAATGTCTGTATTCCGGCTTCAGCTCCCATGTATTTTTGTGTGTCCCCTTCACGTTGTAGATGCCTATTTCTCTCAAAATTTCTTTCAAATATATCTGAAAGGAAACAAAAGTTCAAATTAAACAGGCAGGCAATTGCCATAGTTCCTGCACACCTGCTCAATTGCATGGACTCAGTTCCTAAGGGGCAGAGAGCCTGGCTGGCTGATGGGCACTAACTGGTGTGGGAAGGACTCTGGGATAGACTTCAACCCTCAGGCAGCAGCAGGGATTAGCACAAGCCCCAAGGGATGCAGCAGGGAGCACCTGAGCCCCAGAGGTGATGGCTCCCAGGCACTCCCTCTGAGAGGCAAGTACTCCAGGGGCTGCTGAAATGAAGTTGTTACCTGCATCTCTTGGGAACTATTATGTCACACATCTTCCTCCTGCTGGAATTCCTCCAATTGAGCTAAAAGCTCTTGACCTTTCTTCCTGCTTGGGCTGGGATTATCTTGAAAATCCTTGCCTCATTCAAACTTTGTCAAAGCCTCAAGCTGTTGGTTTTCATGCCATTTTGCAAAGCTTTAAGCATTTTATTACGGCCTCAGTTTTAGAGAGCTGAGTGTATGTCTGAGAATTTTCTAATACCTTAAAATATTAAGACTTGGAAGAGAAAGAAAAAAACCAAAACAAGTAGAGCTATTATACCAGTAGTATAATAATCTTTGACAAAACACAACTCACTGATATTGCCCTCCTTCGCTCTTTATAATAAACACCAGTAATTTTCATAAGAGTCACAAGAGCCTGCTTGTTTGTTTAATTATTAATTGGGACTGAGATGAGTGGATTGTCATGGCAACTACAGACCACAGTTTAAGAATCCCCACATTAAATTCATAATTGCTCGAGTTTGAGTAATTTAATCCTGTTGGAGTGCTTATATTGAACTGGAGTTGTTGGAATGCTTGTATTTTCTGCATCTGCAGTTCCACTAATTATCAACGTACTCCAAGCCATTAAAACCAACAAATACATGTTGAAGACACAGGAAAATAAGAAAGGCTGATTGTCTAAGTATTCCTTACACTCTTTCCCTTTTTGCTAAATGGAAAAGCTAGGAAATACATGAACAAAAAATATGTTCTCAGTCAGTAAAATAAGTGTATTTTAGTAAAATTTATCCTTACTCTCCCTCTCCACACATCAAAAGTATGCAAAGCAGCCCAACACATAAGACTGGTGACTGTCAGGGGTGTGCATATGAACCAGCTTCTTAGGGTCTAGGGTGTTTCCTTTGAGCAGAGCAGTTCACTGTGCAGGGATGGCTCCTCAGCCTTCTGGGGCGCAGAATGCAAACCCCAGCAGGTGGCAGCAGCAGATCGCCGCCGTCCCCTCGCACACCTCGTCTGTTGCAGAGATGCCGTCATTGTTCCCTTCAGGTACCCGGGACACACGCTCGCTACGGCAGCCATGCATCACGCACGGTGCAAAAGGTGCTGGGAGCAGGTGAAACAGCCATTCCTGCATGGGTGTGTGCAGATGTGCACACCTGCATACCCACCGCCTGCACACGAGGCAGTGTCACCGACAGACACTTCAGAACATGGCAGAGTGGGTGGGAGAAACACCTGGCCGCAAGGTTAACTCTGCTCCAGATCACATGGACAGAGAACTCGAAAAAATCCCACATAATTGCACGCAGTGCCATGAGATACACTGATGTTCAGTTCCTGAGCTGGCAGATCTAGTCTGCCCGGGAAGCTGGGTCACAAGGTGTGATGCTGCTGCTGGGCTCAGGCAGAGTAAAACCACTATGGCTGGACTTTCCACAGCACCCACCCAAACCCACCCACCCAGCTACATGAAGCCTATTTTTAATTTCAACTACTTTTCAGACCTAATTACCCAGGCAGTTCTGTTTCTCTCAGGGCAAAACTCCAAGAGTGTAACAAAATGGAACAAAACCAACCCAAACCAAATAGCAAGTTAAGGTCTGTGACACAGCACTTCAAGCTGGAACAGTGAACTGCAGCAGCTGAGGATTTGCTGCTTACTTACCATCTCTGCTGCAGGGGGTAACCAGGCAGGAGAGCTGTTAGGGAGGGCAGCTGAGAGCATTAACCCCAAAACATCACTGTGTGTGCACAGACAAACTGAACTGCTGGAGTTTTTAGACAATTGTTGAACATCACTGTGTGTGCACAGACAACATGGAACTGCTGGAGTTTTTAGACAATTACGAAACATGGATAATCCCACTGTGCTGTGCTGTACCTGAGAACAAGTGGCTTGAAGAGATGAGTTCAGGGGATGCTATCATTTTTCCTGCAGGATCAACTCTCCTTCTAGAAACCAGGATTCCCCACATGGGTCTGCAGTGCACCAGGCTGGCCTACGTATCTTGAAGTATAGTGCTCTGACACTGTACCATGCAGAGAAACCCACACTACTCCCAGTGATGCCAAATACTGAATTTTAGAGCCTGGTGATTGCTAATCAGGGAGCCACAATTTTTTCTCAGAAAGGGATCCTGTGTGTTTATGAACACATAATTCTAGCACAGAAACTCATCTGTAGGTGATCTGTTCATATATTTAAATCATCATCTGCTCTGTTCTACCTTTCCTCATGATTTTTTCCATATAAGGTGAGATGTTATCATGGAATTATGGGATAAAAATTTCTGAGGAGTTAACTTAAAAGCTCTAAAAATCCTTCTGAAACTTTGAGGAGGAAACAAACTCTGTTGTATTTAGGATAACCATTAGTTAAAGCTAAAATAGAAGAAAAAATCCAAACAATCTACTCAATTTTTAAAAAATACAGTTCTTAGGCCACTGGCTCCATCCTGCTTCCATTCTTCACAAAGATTTGATTTCTCACAGATAGTATTATGTTCTCAGCCATGAAGCCCAAGTCTGGAATTACTGCAATAGTTCCAGGGAGCATTCAGTACTTACATCTGGGTAGGTGGCAAAATATTTGCCTACTACTGCAAATTGTTATTTTGCATTAGAATGAAAAACAAATAAATCCAGGTTTCCCTAATATAGCAGTAATTTACATTCAGAAAATACTTGTTTTGTGATTTCATGGCACAAATAAAGATGGCAGCAACTTCTTGTGTAACATGCAACATATTCTGTAGCAAGGGTTTAATTTACTATTTACATTTACCATTACATAAGAAAAGTACCTTTATTTATTTGTAACTTCAAGTTCTCCAGTGGCTTAAGTGGGAGTCTACTGCAAGCTGACATCATGGTAGATGAGATAAATCTGTACCGACTTGCATTCAAAGTGATCGAGATAGTGACTGCCACACTTCTCTCACCAAAAATAAAACCCACTAAAAATTTTCTTGCCACTTCCTCCATACCTTCCTCCTATTCCTTCCTCCTTCTCAGCTCCCATGACCCACACACCTTCTCTGCTGCAGAGAAATGGAGCTGACTCATGAGATAAATGAATGGAAGACATGGATATGTTACTCAACTTTCAAGTTTCTTTCAAGGCACTAGAACACAGTGAACCTACATGGATTTTACTTGGGTAACATCTTTGTGCAGCTTCTAACCAAACAGATTGTTCACCTATACAAAGGCTCTGACTGAGATACACTTCATTCTAAATGTGAAGTGAGCAAAACTAGTAAGCATCTTCAATTTTTTTACAGAGTATTTTTTCCATAATCCAGCTGTTACTGTTCTTTCTTCTGCCTTAGCTCTAACCCTCTAACAACCTGTGACATTGTTGCTCCATTTAGACTCAAACATAATTAAATCCCCTTAAGTCTTCTGAAATCTGCAGCTGGGTAGAGGATAGATATTGAAGTTGGCAGTGAAAAACATCAAAAACACTGAAGGTCCTTCGCATGTCACTGTCACCCTGCCACTCTTGCCTGGTCTGCTCAAGGAAAGCTTTAACAAAGAAAGAAGGGAAAGAACTGCAAAGTTATGGTTCGTACATGAAGAGGCTGACAGGCACTGCAAGACAACAAAACCATCACATATGCAGATGTCTTGGTGCTTTTCTTGTCTGTGTATCAAAACACCGTTTAAAAGAAAACCCCAAATAAATCCTAAATATCAACCACCTAAACTCTTAACCTAAAAATTACCCTATTGGTAAAGGAAATCCAGTGATTTTGGAGGTATTGAGCCTGAGCTTATGATGCCTGAGCTTCTAATATGCACAATCCTTTCATTTAATACAAATTTCATGAAATATAGAAAAAGAGCAACCCCTGTTGCTGTGCCAAAATACAGTTCAGAAGCTGAGGGAAAGGCTGACCATAGACTAACATAAGCTGCTGCTGCCAAGATAACTAGGCTTCAGTGAGGACAGGAGTAGCAGGGGAGACATGAGAGCATTACAGAAGTTGGTTCCTAGTATTAAAGGAAACCTAAATAAAAAAGAGACCATTTAGGTTATTTAAACCATCTCTGTAAAGAAAAAGCACACTCACTACAATGTTTAGTATCCTACACTGTCCTACAATGCTGAATTTAAAACTTGATGATTTCAGTTTGTTGTAAAACATATTTAGAGAGGAGTTTCTAAGGCATACAATACATATTAAACTATTTTCTAGATATGTAAAATACACACAGCAGTAACTACTGAAAATGGTTGTATTTAAGACTTGCAGTACATACCACTGGCTGTTTGGTTATGTCCACCAGGTCTTTAATGTTGTAATACTGATGTTTCTCAAAGGCTGAAAAAAGCATGTCCAACACTTGTTGTTTATCAGCTCGAGCTCTTTTTCCATCTTCTTTCTTCTTCTTCTCATATTCAATCTGTTACAAAACATGTTTTAAAGACATTCACATGTAATGCTGTATAACTCCCAGTGCTGAACATAAAGCTACAAAAACCTCTTCTATTTAACAAAACACTGTTCAATGACTGAGTGTTTTTCATCTGGAAAGTTTTCTTTTGAACATTCAAATATTCTTTTGTGAGCATAAACTAAGCATTTTGTCCTCAGCACCATAAGCTTCTCAGATTATCTGCTTTAACCAGAGAAAAAGAAAAAAAGTGGAAACAGAGCCTGCAGGTGCCCAAACCCAGAAAAAAAACCCCTAATAATAATATAAGAATCCAAACTGAGACTGTATTCTCACTCCACCTCTGTTGGTACCAGCTTCTGAGGTACATTGACAAATGCCAAACAACCTCCAAAGTGCCATGCTTGGGAAAATCCACAGACTAACATGGCTACATCCACAATCATAACAAGCACCTGCCCAAAGAATGTTCCCAATGGGCCTTGGACACTGCCTTATTTTCTCCAGAAGCAGTAGTCAAGGCATAAACTCTATTCAATATACAACCAATCTTCAAAGACACACTTTGAGGATCTGGATGGTTTCTCTTCAGGAGAAACCAGAGTAGCACACATGAAGTTGCACTAGTCCCAAAAAATCAAACCTTCTAAGCAGACAGAGGCCCCTTGTTGCCACACATCATCCTACTTCAAACTGTACATTAAAAATTACTTAACCATTATAATCTGCACCAGATGACTATATATCTTCACAGAAACTTTTATCGCCTCCAAAAATACATCCTCTGATTCATCATCAGAAGCACAGACCAGCATACCCCAAACAAACCCCAGTCACCAAAGAGCACCAACCGCGACACCTGCCAGCACATCACCCCACATCACCCACCCCCAACACCACCCTGAAACAGAAAACCAGCCAGCTCCTTGGAACCAACAAAAGTGATCCAGAAGGTGGTGTAAGTCATGTAATCATCAAGTGCTTTCAGGCAAACTGCGTGGGTGAATCCATAGCAGCACAATGTACAGCAGAAAAGATGCATGTGATCAATAAGGGACACGCGCCTGGCTGTAAATGAGGTAATTCTGTATGGCAGTTGTTCTGCTTCTGACGGCTCAAATCTGACTCTCAAAAGGAAGACCTTCAGATGAAAAGCATATAAATGAAAATGCACAGATCTACTAGATACTAAAGATCTTATTTTAAAGAAGAAAGATTGGTTTTATGGCCCAATTCATGTTTTTCCTATGTATCCTTGCCAGCTAACTCCCTCCTACTCTCAGAGTGAAAATAGCCTGTCTCTTGGTAGCTGTCCCAAAGTGACTAAAGAATATTGCCACCTTTGCTGTGGCTCCCAGGTCTCCAGCCAGCTAACTACCTTCTTCACATTCTGAAATGGATATACATCTTTAAACTGGATGCAGAGCAATTGTTTCCAACCTGTAGCTTGAAGTCTCTTACTTCTGCTTTAAACTAAAATGGGTGTGCACAACTAAATAGTTGTCTGCTTTTCTAACTCCATGCAGTGTTATAAAAGCTACAATCTCACCACACAAACCCATCACGCAATTGATTTTTATCCAGTAAATACAGTTTAGTGTAATTATTTAACTCTTTAGCCAGTGCATTTAAAGAAGAATAAATCTTCTAAACATTAATAGCTTTGCAACATAGCAAACTGTAACATCAAGCAAGGCAGCTTGACAGTACATCATCTTGGTTGCCAGGATCCACAGCAGAACTGCTGCACCACAGACACGAGAAGAACATAAACCCATGACACTGGCCTTCTCTTAAACAATAGCATGTCAAAACATTTGCTTCTTCTGGAAGTCCAACAGACAATTACTAAAAAAATTCCATGTGAATATTCTAATAGTCTTAATTCATTAATGTATAAAATCAACTCACATAAAAAACTGTGTATCAAACCCTCCCTTTATTGAAAAGTTACTAGCCGCTGATGCCCCAGTTGCCCACTCTCTAATTAGCAATACTCTAGCATTTTCCTCTAACTTCAGCAACAGTTTCCACTGTTGTCTGATGGAAGAGCACATTGAGAAGTGCTAAAAAAAAAAAAAAAAAGCCTGGTGTCTTCTGTTGCTGATTTCTTCTTTTTGGCCTTGTGAATACACTGCTCACAGCAATTTACAATGCAGCCTTTCACTTTTTTCCTTCCTGTTTTCTTTGCAAACAGGATCTTCTATGTAGTAGGCTTAAAGCACTTTTTAATAGTCATGTAATAGAATGCACCTACACTGTAAACTAATTAGATGTCTTTAAAGTTCTGTGGTATTTTTAATTTAAAAGTATTCAAATACTATTTGATTTCAAGGAAGGACCATTTTAGAACAAGCTGTTTAGCACAGAAGTTGTGAGTTTATCCCCAGAAGACTTTATACTGAAATCAATTTCTCTTTGTTTACCTTCCCAGGATGTTGCTAAGCTTGCTGAAAAGCTGCTAAAATTGCCTTCTTGAAAGTATCATTAATACTGAAGCTGATGTAACTGCTTTGGTAGACAATGAATATAAAAGTCATAGAGAAGTTAGAATAAATCCAAAGCTTCATCTAAAGATGAAGTAAAGATGAAGACTCTAAAGTAGTCCTAAAGGTTTTCTTGTCTCCTGGAGCATGGGTACCAACCTCTTCAGTACAGGACATTGGGAAGAGAGGACCACCAAGAAACCACTAAAAGAAGCCTCTGAAGGGCTAGCCAGAAGCACTGAAGAAACTTTCTGCTGTATTATGAAAAACAATTAAGTCACAGAAAGGTTCCAGCTTCAAAAATATTAACCTTGCAACTTTGCAAACACATTTAATATTTATAGATATAATGGAGGTCTTTTCCCCAGAGAAGAAAAGCTAAGTTACAACCTTAGCATATATTGTAATGGAATTGCAATTTCTTCAAATAAAAATATAGGTGTAATATAATTTCTTGCAAAAATAATCTAATCACTTTCCCAGTCCTTGAATTCAAACAAGCTATCACTATTTCCCATCCACATGTAATTTATTTCCCTCCTCCTTCCTGCTGTACGTGCCTTTATAGGTACACGAAGCAGCTACAATTAAGCCCCATTTTATATTCTTTCCTTCAAGAAATGCTAACCCTTTCTCTCTTCCTTAGTAGATACTCATTCTTCCCGCAGAAACTGCCCAGATGATGACTGCATTAACATATATGACAATTTCTACATTTTTATTTCTTTCTCGTGAAAGTCTTGTCCCCAACACAGCACCATACAATTACATGCAAAGCAGCAGGGTCTAAGAAAGCAGTTGCTGCTTGAAAACAGCAGAAAAATTCAACCAAGAGGTTTTAAAAATTCATGGACTTTTTCTCCCAGTTATATACCCTTTCAGCCATTTAACCTGAACCTTAATAAAAGACTTAATGAACAGAAAGATTTTGTAGAAAGTAGTCATGCCTCGGCCTTTAGAGTCAAGGCAACATCTAGGTGACTCAAGTACAAGAATGTCTTACAAGATTTTTCCCATCAGAACACCTTTAGGGTAGACATGAAAACTAAACACACTGCTGATGGATTTCCACGACCATGGACAGCTATGTAACCAATAAAAATATAATAATTAGGACACAAGAGCACCATCACTTTTAACAGGCCTAGTTATACCCCCTCAATCTCACACAAGATTTAAATTGCCATAATGATATGGTGACCTGCAGTTTGCAGCTGGAATAAAGATATAAAGATTATCTCTAGGCTGTAGTCATACTGCCATAATTATGCTGGTGTCAGGGAAATGGAACAGCATCCCACTAAAAAGAGAAGCTTTACCCCACCAAATATCATTCCAAAATTAAAGAAGAACACCAGCAGCATCATAAAACAATATACTGATGTAAAACTGCATCTGCACAGTAGGACACATCAGTGTGACTGTTTTGGTTAAATGGCATTCCCTCAGCTGTTATTACAATTATATTGGTATGATCATCCATGTAAAGAGCAGACTTTGAACAGTAACTACTACAAAATAGACCCATGAGAGAAAAATTATTATTTCTGGTTCTGTGGCAATAGACTGACTTTCATAATAATGCTTAAATATCATCCAGTATATTGTCACTTGTTTTATGTAAATAAAATCTTAATAAAAAGTGTAAAAGTTTAAATGACTAACACAGTGATTCATTTTCAGTATGACTTAATGTTACTCACATTCAACATACTCAAAGAGTATCTTTAAGGAAAAGGACGTTATAGTTTATATGTACATCAACTGATCTGGAACAGCAGTGTGGGTGTAATATTGACAAAGCCAATGATGCCAATAACATGTACTGTGAAGGTAGGAAACTGAGAAAAATTATCAGCTGTTACTCTTTTCTACTTGTTGCCAATTCCTCCAAAGGACTGGAAACTAATGATTCTTTGCAAGTCCTTTACTCTCCTGCAGATGATAAGTTATTTGGCTCAAAAGAGTGTTTCCACATCTCATAGCACAAAGCCAGAACTGCCTTTCATCCACAAATGTCAAAATTACATTAAAAAAAAAGATTAGAGGAAGAATGTAATAAAGCCACTAAAAAGGGTTGGGTGAAGGTGGTCTGCCCTCCATCAGATAACACAAGACAGTTACGACTGGCAGACCTTAGCCCCAAGGGTGATACTGGTCTTGAGACAGAAAGAAGATCCCCAGAAGACAAAATCAAGGAGAAATCAGGTGACATAGAGCATTGACAAAGACAGTGGCTAACTGTGAGCAAAAGAGCTGCTGGACAGCAGCAGAGCAGTCCTGGAGTCCTAAGCCAAATTCCTCCTGAAGAAAGGAAAATACTGAAAGCTACTTACATTATACTGATGATTAGCCACTGGTTTATAGTTCGTGGTTACAGCTTTGTCCAGCTGCTGTGATAACCTTACAGGTTTAGAAGATTCTTCTATCTGTAATCTACAAAAAGAAAACAAGAATAAAAAGTTCAGACCAGCACACGCTGAAAGTGAAGTCTAAAAATCTGTAACTATGAACCAACTATTATCAAGGGTCAGATGTAAACAATCTATAAGGCAAAACAGATGCACTCTTCTGGATTAAGTTCTTACTCTATTTTTGCTCAAGGACACTGAACTATTAGTTCAGTGGGTGCTGAACTAATAGCTCATAGGAACTGAAGTTCATAGGGTGCTGTATGCTACAGAAGATATTGAAATGCTGAAAATCAAACAGCTGAAGATAAGATACTAAAACCGAATTTTGAACACAAATTTCACTGCAAAAACCTAATGCTCAGATTGAAAAAAAGCCCTTGCTCTTAAAAAAGATCAAACCCAACCCAAATGAATGCAGAATCTCACAGCTTACTCAGCTGAGGGATGAAAAAAGCTTTTCATCCACCTCTGCTAACCCATAACCTTCTCTTAGATATTGAAATGTAAAAACATAAATTTCTGTGACCTTTCTTTTGGCATTACAGTACAGTAAGAGAGTGCAAATAACAGTTTTAAGAGCATTATAAAGACATGAAGACAGAAAAATCTACCCAGCTTCAAATCAATGTGCAATCAAGTCTCTATCACACAGATAACAATAGGTGACCTTCAATTCTCTTTGGGAAAGACTCTCAGAAGGTCACTGGTTGAGGACATCTTGTCAAGCTTATCCCTATGTAATTTAAAGCTTCTGTATGTTGATGTAGATGGAGTGTTCCATTTAATTCAGATTTAGCACTCAAGAATTTCTACTTGAAATGAAGAGGCAAGACACCAAGCTCTAGAAAAGCACAGGACATGGCCTTTTAGACACAATGGCTTTACAGCACATCTGATTAAAATGTTAATTATCAGTGAAGCAGTTTTGTTTCCAAAGGTGCATCTTGTAGGCAGAGGAGTCAATTTCCACTAAACACAGTATAACACAGCCCAATAAATGCACAGTGATGCTTGCTGCTTTCCAAACAAAAATTAATATGGTGACCTTAATGCCAATAATAACTGCATGTTTACTAGTGTAAAGCATACAAATTACAAAACCGACAGATCTTTAAAAACTGTAAATGTTTGAGTTCACTGATTTATTTTTGTAAAGATATCATTCACACCCAAAAAGATAAAATTTAAATTTAGCGTGTTTCTGAATGAACACCTGAACAACCTAAATAAATTACATTTGAAGGAAGTAATAAATCAAGAAATAAATTCTCCAGTTGTAGTGACTTGAAAGGAAGAAAATCATCCCTTATAGCTGGTATTGCTGGACATTAGGCAGAAACAGTGTTTTCTCATACATAGATAAACTTGCTTCCTCTTGAATCTTTCTATCATAAAAATGTAGAACATGAGGCAATGGTTCCTTAAGAGCAGTAAAAACTACAGAAAAAATGACAAGTCTGCCAAGGAAGAAGGAAAATCAATTGGAAGGTAAATGAACAGTGAACATGTTTTGCTTATCACAAGAGTTTATCTTTTGGCCTTCAATCTAATTAAATGATTTTAAAGATTTTCTTCATCTGGTTACGAAACATCTTCTAAACTCATGTTTCACAAAAGGCATAGACCAAAATTAAATCACTATCTTTTCTACAAATCTGTCTTTTTCTCTACTTCTCCATTGCTTAATATTTTTCTTTTCGGTCCCAATGACTTTTTAAATTTTTAAATAGTTTAGCTTTAATTTTTACATAGTTTGGCTTTAATTCCTTTATTTTTTTCCAGTTCATCATGTTTCTATTTGTTTGATCTGGGGAGTTTTCCAGTTCTTCCTCTCCTCTATTCTAGCTATTTTTCATCTCACTTCTCCCTCCATTTTTCCTTCATAAAGGAGATTTCCTGCTCAACCCATTTACTGATACTGCTCCTGTTCGTGAGACAGGGGCTCCTTGAGACAAACTGGGAATTCTTGTCATCTTCTTCCCCTCCAAGGCCACTGCACCAACTTCATGTGCATCAGATTAAGTTATTTGATTTACAATGTAGCTCCAGAGTCCTTCTCATAACAGCTACAGTACAGGGTCCTAACAATACTTAAATACATCAGATGGTGTCACGCTTTCAGGGAGCGCCAGGCATTCAACAGTGACCTATCTTCACGATTAATCCTCCTTGCACTGGGCTTTATATTCATTACTCTTTACAATGTAAATTAACAATATCTCTATTTCTTCACATACACAGCCAAAGAATGCTTCAATGATGAATTGTCAGCCATGGACTTTAGATACCACTCATGTTCAAGGCCTCTTCCTGATCTGGCATTTTAAAATTACAATAGAGGAAATTTCAACCCCCATTCAGTGCAGCTTCCTTAAATTAATTCTTCTTTGCCCAAAAGTACACTAGCAATTTATTTCTTAACATTTTTCACTCCCCATGCAGGATATGCATTTCAGCTCTTTTATGTTAACCTCCGAATTTCCAAATCAATAGAAAACCAAATGTGTAAGAGAGCTAATAGACTTCTCAGAGGCCTCCCTTCGAAGGTTGATGGAAGTGAAGGTACACTTAACAAGTAAAGTTCTCCAGCATATAATTTTGAAAACAAAGAAAAACTTACTGCCTGCTTAGGAAACAGAATGAAAGCCAACCAAGTGAAAATGGAGAGGGACCATCTAAGCTTGTTTGTGAAATGGCAGAAGACTTCAGAAAGATCTATACATAGCAAGTAACAAATACATCAGCTACAAATGTATGTCTCTGGAATTTCAGAGATATTTGTGTTGTACATTGATATTTTTTGCCAAAGGTTTCCAAATTACAACCACAGATCTCACAGATCTCAGATGGTCTTTAGAACACTGGCTTACAGTAAAATGTTAACCTTTTCTGTTGGTTTCTACTGCTGTAGTGAGAAGTGAAAATACACTAGATTCCTGATACTACTTTTTAATGCAAACAATTACAGCCGTGGCCATATGCCAATATGGAGATTTATATGGGAAGCATGGTGACTCAGGAGGCAAAGCTTTTTATTAATAGCTTTTATTCTACACATGCATCTTGCTCTTCTCCCTAATGGCTGCCCTTCCCATTTATTTTTCTGCAGCTTTCACAATTTCACAGAGCCTCAGGTTACCTTCCTTTACCTTCCTTCCACTGGGCTTGCAGGTGGAATATTGTCACACAATCCTGCATGGAATAATAACTGATGCACATCTGGAATTGGCCTCACAAAAATGCATGAATAAAGGGACTGACAAACATGGTATAAACACCAAATTAGCAAGTGGTTCACATGGGGATGAAGCACTGAAATTTGCTTAGTGCATTACGAAGGGTAAAGACAAACAGCCCATAATCATTTTGTCCAGATGATTTGCTGATACAGACACTATCTGCAGGGAAAATACAGCATGGTTGTTTGGGTTTTTTTCAAAATCATGCTGCAATTCTGTTATATTCAGAAAGTAGTATGTCTGGGGGAATATAATTGACTTTTTAAATTTGCATAGATGTTGTCTGAAAAAATTTGATTAAATATATAAATTTATACATTCCAGTAATTATACACTCAAAAATACATAACAAAAGGTATAAACTGGAAATTGTACTAGCCTTTTAGATAGATGTTAAAACATGTTACAGATATAATTACTTTTAATTATTTAAAATTTCTTAAACAGAATTTAAAAAGCAGTATTAAACAAGAATATCCGGCAGTGCTTTATGCAGAATTGTCTCAGAGTGGACCTGCTGAATCTTAAACGAAACTGCTGGTAGGAATAAAGAAAAAAAATCAATAGATATTCTGAGTCACTGGTGACACTGATTTAAAGGAGCAGGGGCTTTTTACCTATTACCCTTTATTGTGATTTGCAGGAGTTAAAAGATTTAGTTATCGCTTTGAACAATAGACAAATATCCAAACTCTTGTTGAAATAGTTAGAGCCATACTTCATGCTAATATCTGGCCTAAAAAATAAAGAGAAAATGGAGATATATTTTCCTTCAAACTGCCAATGAATTAGCAACAGAGCAGCCACCAGCCTGCACACTGTGGTTTTCTCTTCCGCCCCCAAGATCAAATATAGCTCTTCCACCTTGAAATACAGCAAGTAACCAGCACGGCATCGAATTCACCATGGTCATTTCCCAGCAAAACACATTTCTTACCGCAGCTTTGATTTGTCATTGTGCTTATACTTGAATAAGGGGAAAAAAACATTCAAACAGACTGGAAATAATTCCACAGGACTTGGCAACATGTAGCAAACTCATACAAGAAGACAGATGAAGACAGTATGTACATTCCTAGGAAGAGACATTCATTGTTTTTTAAATACATGTAATTTTCAGCAACAAAAAATAAACCGAAGACCTTTAGAACTAATAATCTACTGTGATTAATCTTTTGTCACAAAACAAATGTTTCAAAGATTTGAAGCAGGTATTAATCACAAACACTGCTAGGGCTCGAATTCTTTGCCTTTCTAAAGAAATTATTTCACAGATAAGAGAGTAAAGTTTATGTACTTTTTTCTGCTTGGCTATCTGTACACAGGGCACCAGTAAGTAAGGAGTCAGCCTTACCGATGCAAAAAAAGGAAAAGTTGTGTTTCTTCTCTCTCTGCATTAACACCGATGCACTAGAAGAAAGCAGGCCCACTGCCCAAAGCTTTGGAGGAGAAGAAACACAAACTCTCCATCTTTGCACAGTTTTGTAGCTTTTCTCTAATTGCTCACAGTTTCAGTCCAATACCAGGGAACTGAAGTTCCCAGTCCAATACCAGGGAACTGAAAGCCAAGGACTAATTCTCTCATCGTCCCTTACTCAGTAATCTTGTACTAGAACCAGGCATTGACAGCTGCATTACATGAAGTTTCATGATACCTGATATGGGCTATGAAGCTTTTCCTTTGCTTCCTTATTTCTCTAAGCATCCCAAACATGACAGAAGTAGGCACATCCTGAAATATCTCATCCAAAACAAACTAATAAAATAAATGCAACAATATAGC